TTCCATCAGATATTCAATGGCATTTTATTGGATCATTACAAAGTAACAAGTGTAAAGCTGTTGCAGGTAAAAATAAAATAAGATTAAGAATAACATCAATAATAATAAAATTCCAATTCCAATCATTAAAATTAAAATTTGTAAAAATATTATTAATATTATTAGCAATTCCAAATTTATGGGCAGTAGAAACTATTGATAGCAGTAGAAAGGCAGATGTATTAAATAAAGCATGTTCATCAAGAGGAGAACCATTAAATATATTCATACAAGTAAATACTAGTGAAGAATCAAGTAAGTTGTCAAATAAATGAAAGAATGAGTAAAGAAAAAATTTATTAATTATATTATACTTCTAATAATAGCAAAAGGTGGAATAGATCCAAAAGATTGTATTTCAACAATTGAATATATTGAAAATAATTGCTTTAAATTAAAAGTGATTGGATTAATGACAATTGGATCATTTGAAAACAGTGAAAATTATAAAAATCAAGATAATCCTGATTTTTTAGTAAGTGTTTGATTAATTTAATTAGAAAATATTTCTAAATTTAATCTTTTTAAATTTTTTTAGAAATTAAATCAACTTTATGAGGAATATAAAATATTAAAAGGCAAAGAATTGGAATTAAGTATGGGAATGTCTAATGATTATGAAGAAGCATTAAAACTTGGATCAACAAATATAAGAGTTGGAAGTAAAATATTCGGTGAAAGGTCTTCAATAAAAAATATTGACATATGAATAAATTTATTATACGACTTTGAGTTATCTCTCTATCACTTATTGTTTGTTGCCTTCATTATTGCCATCATTATGTCCTAATTTTCTTAGTTTTCTTAATAGTGATTTGAATCCATTTCTAAATCTATCATTTTTAAAAATAGCAAAGAAATTATTTGATAGAAGAGCTGATTGTAATCCAACAATAATTTCATTGTGTAAACTATTTAATAATAAAAATTTGCAGAATACAAATTCTGTTATTTAGTCTACACTTGACCATTTTAATTCTTAATAGTACAAATCATCATTCAACAGAGTTTTTCTAAGCTCAAAATTTTTTTCAGTTAACATTATTTTTCAATCACCAGGTCGGATATTTTGTGTGCACTTTTTTTTTACTACGCCAATTAGATTGTCTAATAAAATGATTGGACTGGCAATTTTTGTTCAAATGATAATTGTATTATTTATTATTTTGCGGAAATTTTCAAAAGAAAATTATGCAACAAGGAAAAGCTTTTAAATACGGGTTGACTCTAACCAACAAAAAAAAACCTACAGTACATCCATCAAAAAGAGCAGCTCTTTTTACTGAAGAAGAAGCAGAAGCAGAAGAAGGAAATAATATAGACAACATTAAATCATCAAAATCTCACAATACAACAACAGTTGACAATAAATCATTTCTGAAAAATGTTAATAAACAGTTGTTGTCTAATTCAAGTATAACCAAATCTGTCATAGAGCAATACGAGGATGCTTTGGAAGAAGATCCAACGGTGTACTCGTATGATGAAGTATATGATGTCATGAAGAAAGCTGAGAAAAAAAGGACAGATCAAATAAAAGGGAAGGAACTGAGTGAAAATGGTGAAAAAAAAGTAATTAAATCAACATATAAAAAACCTCATCTTATAAATTCATTTTATTGTTATTAATTATTTGGTTTGAAAAAAAACAGGCTAAATATGTTAATAATATGTTAAGAGCTGCAATGATAAGAAAACGTGATTACATGACTGTACAAGAACATAAATTACAAAAGGAACGAGAAGCTGAAGGAGATGAATTTGATGATAAAGAAGTTTTTGTGACTACATCGTATTGTATCTCCTTTTTAGATGTGAATTTATTTATGTACTTTTCATATATTAAATTGGTTTCATTCATTGATTAATTAATCTAGATATAAACAGATGCAAGAAGAATTGAAAAAAGCAGAAGAGGAAGAAAAAAGAACGGGTATAGATATAAAATATCATTAGTTATAATAATAATTTATATATTAATATTTGTTAATATATTCTTCTAGAAAAAGAATACCAGGAAGGTAAAGATATAACAGATTTTTATCGTAGATTTTTAGATCAAACATCCAGAGCAAAAGCTGTTGCAATAGAATCGATCAAATCAGAAATTCAGAAAAAGTATAAAAGAAAATTTGATGATAGTAGTGGTGGTGATAACAAATATGAAGAAGATGAAGATGACGAAGACAAAAGTGAGAATCAATCAAATTTAGATGATAAACTTAAAACAGATAAACAACTTGCAGAAGAAGCTGAAGCATCAGGGAAAAGCGTTATATTAAACGAAGATGACCAAATAATAGATAAAAGGGAACTTTTATCAGCTGGATTAAATATAACGAAAAAGAAGGATAAAGACAATAGAAAAACTACTAATGGTAGTAGGAAAAGAAAGGTAGATAATAAGGAATTTGATGAAGATGATCATAATATTTTGTCAAAAAGATCTTCTGAAGAAGAGGCAAGAAGACGTAGTGAGAAACAAAGCCATGAATTGGAAATGCAATTAAAAGAAATAGAAGCGAAGAAAAAGGAAGAAGAAGCTCGTAAACAAGAAGAATTGATTAAGAAATTTTCTAAAAAGAACGATGAAGCTACTATCTCAGATGCAAGAGCTAGATATTTGGCAAGAAAAAATCAAAAGTCATGAAAGAAAAAAATTTTAAATTTTGAAGATTATTTATTATTATCACAACTTAATTACATAAATAATATTCTAATAAATGATAAATTATATATATATATATATTACATTACATTGCTATTACTACCACCAACACCACCAGCTATATTAACACTTCTAATGCTACGAAAACCTACATCACCAATACGTCCTGATAATTTTCTATATCCATCAAATTCTAATTTTCTTTTTCTCCATACAAATAGACTGCAAGATAAAAATGCTACAAAAATATTTATAAACTAATAAAATTAAATTAGATTATTTTCTATAAAAGAAGAAAGAAGATTATTTATTTATGGATCAACTTTTACCTGAAACTCAAAATATTTTGTTCTTTCAACTTTTTTTACTCTTTTACATGCTCTATAAATTGGAATTTTAGTTGAATTATTATTTTCTGTTGGTTGACCATTTGGGGTTTCCCAATGACATTTAACAAGTTCTTTATTTCCATATTGTAAACAATAATTTTCTTGAGATATCTAATGACAAATAATAATATTAATTATTATTATCATTGTTGTACCATATTAATATTAATCACTATTATAATAATCAATCAATCATTGTAGAAAATTCCTCTTAATTTACCGCCTCAAGCGCAGTGCATGGTTCACAATCACCAATCACAATGCAAGTATAGGTTTTATCGTCATTATATCTCAAAGGATCAATATTGTTATTATTGATGGGTGGTTCTGAGGAAGGTAAATTTAAGTTTGGAGTTGTAGTGTAAACAAGTAACGTAGTTGATGTTGAAAGGATTTCTACTTCTGGTTTTGCCTCTATAACTATTATTATTTTTGTTATGGTTACTAATAAAACAATCAATAACCTTTAAAAAAAATTATAAAGATCAGAATGAATTTAAGAAACTAAAATAATTCATAGATATATTTTAGATTTTATTACCACATGTTAATGTTAACATTAACACTTTTGAAACCGTTAACACTTTTTGAAACTGTTAACATTTTTGAAACTGTGTCACGCAATATTTTTTTTACTATTACTAATTTCAATAAAATTTTAGAATGTCCGATAATAATAATAAAAATTTGGGAATCACATTTTCCGATTTTCCCGATTACAAATAATGAAAGCCCAAATAAATTTTTTTATCTTTATTACAGTTTAGCTTGCGAGCCAAGTTCCATAGATTACAATCTACTTTTTTTTTATTGTGGCATTCATGTATAATAAGAAACAAAGATTCAATACTAATTGTGATGACTGACCAGGGTTCCTTTGTTTATTGTTGATCCAATTCTAAGACCTGCACCCCAAGTTATTTTCTATTTTCTATATCTTGTTAAAAGATTACTGGCGAAATTTAAAAATTTCCGAAAAATTTTTGGCCAGCCCGGAGAATGATTGCATTCCCTATTAAATTATTTTGGCCCCTGATGAAAAACATTAAAAACCCTGTTTACTTAATATTACAATCGTACCTCTATCATATATATATATACCATCCTAACTTTTTGAAATGTTATATCCCCCCATTTTAACCTTATTTGTACTTGATATATAAATGTAACATACCATTTTTAGTTATAAAAATTTTTCATTAACAATAAAGAAATTATTCTGCTTAACAATAAAGAATTTATTTTGTAACAATTTGTTGATTTCTTTAACAAATAAAGAATTTATTCTGCTTTATTTATTTAATGATGACAATAAAAATTAATTAGATTATCCTTTTTTTAGTGGAAACTTGGTTGATTTTTTTTTTCTAACAATAAAAAAATTATTCTTTTTTTTTTTAGTAGCAATTTGGTTAATTTCTCGACAATAAAAAAACAATTAGAATTATTCTTTTTTTAGTGGAAACTTGGTTGATTTTTTTTAACAATAAAGAAATTATTCTGCAAAAACGTCAATCCTTTAAAAATCACGTGAAATGATCAACTAATTATATCCCACTTTAGTTATATCCCATAAAAGATTATTGTGTGGTTTCCGAGGTCCTGTAACCAGAAAAAGAATTGGGTAGTCGATATCCAATATTAATAATATTCCACAACAATGCAATTGAATATTTCTCGTACAACTCTTTTTCCAAATTTGGGAAAATATTTAATGATGCAATAATTATTAATTAATAAATATTTAGAAATTACAAAGTTTTTTTTTCTCATTTCTCCATTTTATCTAAAAAGAACATAGTTTGTTTATATTTCTAAAAAAAAAATTTTTTTAAATAAAATTTTTTACGACAAAAAAAGCCTCGTAAATAATCTAAAATTGTGTGTATATAAATAATTAAAAAATGTCTTGCGATTTAAGTGACCCAGCTATCACAGTAGCATATGAAGAGATCGTAAATGGTCATGATACCAATTGGTTAGTTGTAATTTTCTACAAATGTTTTTATACATCTGCATATATGCATATATAGATATAGACACAATTAATAAATGATAATTGATTGATTAATTGATTAATTAATTAATTAATTAATTAATTAATTCATTCCAATAATAATTAATTATATGTTTAGGCTTATTCTTGGATATCACGATACAAGAGATAAAATTTCTTTATATTCTAAAGGTTCACAAGGTCTTGATGAACTCCGTAGTAATTTAAAAGATGAAGTATTGTATGGCTTTCTAAGAATTGAAAATAAATTTGTTTTATTAACTTATGTCAGTGAGCAAGTCAGGTATTTCCCTTTTATTTCTCAATTACAATTAATTAGTTTTTTTTAAAGCTATTTGTATATATGGATAGATAGATATATTTATGAAACATAAGTTCTAATAAATAAAGATTTATTTGTTTTATAATTGTTTAATTAGCGGTGTACGAAGAGGTAAATGATAATGATAGTGATAATGGCGACAATTATTATAAAAAAGTATTTCAATTAATTAATTTGTTGATTAATTGATCGTTTATTTTGGAATTCTATTTGTTATTTAATTTATAGCACGTGCTTTGGTACATGGTAGAGCAGTTGGTGCATTATTTAAGGTAGGATGGTGATTTATGCACATTGAATAGTTCTTGGTTTCTTTTTATTTGTGGTGCATTCTAAAATTATATGTAATTTCGAATCATTTAATATTCGTCAAGCAGGCACACCAAATCCAAATTAGTGCTTCAACACCAAATGATCTTACGGAAGCAAATGTTCGCAATCGTTTGAAGCTCAGCGACCCATCTGATAAGCATCCACCTACACCAAAAAGAGGTAATACTAATAATAGTAGCAGTACAAATTCATCTATTTCTCAAATTCCATCACCAACCTCTCCGAAATCAACAGAAAATGAGTCATTTCCAGTAGTTGAAAGCGAGGAAATTATTGAAAGAACATCATCACCACCACAACAATCGCAGGAAGACATTGAAAGACAAGCTCGTGAAAAAGAAGAACAAGAAATTGCTGTTCAGAGACATAATGCTGAAAAAGTTGCCAAAGAGGCAGCCCAACGAAGAGCTCTTGAAGAAAAGCAAAAACAAGATGAACTGGAGAAAAAAGAAAGAGATGCTGCTGAAGCAAAAGCCAGAGCTGAAGTTGATCGTAAAAATCGTGAAGAGTCTGAACGAAAACGAAGTGAAGAACTTCGATCTAAATTTGCTGAATTGGAAAAAAGTGGAAAGGTAAATTATCAAATAAAAGTTTTTTGAGGTGATGGTATATAAAAAGACTAACAATATTGTTGTTGTTGTCGTTGTCGTTGTTGTAGGTTACGTTAAATGGATATATTACTGTTCAAGGTGGTGGTGTCTATGTAAGTTTTTTTATTTACATAATCTTTTTTACTAAAAAATAAATAAATTAAATTTTAAATTAATTAATTAAAAAATTTGATTTTTTAAAAAAAAAATTAAAAAGTTTTGGAAACGCAGATTTTTTGAACTTCGTGGTAAAACTCTTTACCTTTTCTGTGACGAGAATGACAAACTTCCAATCTCCAAACTTGAACTTGATGGACAAGTTTCTGGAGTAACAGACGCACAATCCGAAGTTTTGATACTTAATTCCTTCAAAGTTGATTTTAAATCATCTGAATCTTACTATTTCTTTTCTGATGATAAGAAAGATAAAGAATCAATTGTCACTGCTATAGGAAGATACGTCAAATAATTAAATCGAATAAAAAAATTTTTATTTATTTTTATTTATTTTTTTAAATTTTTATTTATATTTATTAATTATTTATTTTAATCTTTAATCTTTAATTATCATTATTATTAATCGCTATATTAATTTGTTTATTATTAAAAAATATATATTTTTTTTTTAATTAGAATAGAATTTATATTTTATTAGGATTTTTTTATGAGAACGCGTGTATAAATTATAATTATTATTATAAGATTTATTTATTATTAAAAAATTATTATCCAATACAGTATATATCTGATTGCAAAATGATTTTATTTATAATTCTAAAGAACCTTGGTCGTGCATTGTCATCAGACACTTACAGAAATCCAAAGTAAAATCACATATTATGCGTGTAAAAAATCATTTAATTTATTATTAAAAAATATTAAGTATTAAGTATTAAGTATTATTATTAATTATTTTTTTTTAATTATTATTATACCCAAATCTCTATTTGTAAAGAGATCACGATTCATTGAAAAAATCTATTATATAATAAAATAAAAAAGTTATTGTTTTATAAAAAATTAATTTTAAATCCATTATGTATTATATTATTGTATTAGTAGAGTATTGTATTAATGAATGAGAGTGTATGTATGTGTATGTATTGTATGTTATATATTTATATATTGTATTTAAAAATAAGTAATTCTATATATTTAAATATTAATATAAAAAATTGTTTATATATATTAATACATAGAAACTAAAGTAATACAACTATTATGAAAAGAAGGTAAATAATAAATATATTAATAGAATATGAAGAATAAAAAATATAATCGATGAAAAAAGTATGATGATAATAATAATGATACATGATAAAAATACACATATATCCCTTGGCATTTTACTAAAGAAAGATTTAAAATAATAAATAAAAAACTTAAATAATACTATTTACACAAGTTCATTACATAATCTATTTCTTTCTTGTCTTTTTTTTTTTTTTTTTTTTGAGAAATTAAAATTTATTTCATCTTAGTATTCTGACTTAACCAATTCAATCCTTCAAAAAGACCTTCTCCAGTTGTAGCACATGAAGGATGAACAAACCAGGCTCGATCTTTCATACGGTGTAATCCTAATTTTTCAGTTACTTCAGTAGGTGACATTGCTGGTAATGATAATTTAAGCGTTAATATTGACTAATTAACTAATTAATTAATTGATTGATTGATTTGTTTGTTTGTTTGTTTGTTTATTTGTTTGTTTGAACTTACCGGTTGGTAAATCTTGTTTATTGGCGAATACTAATAATAAACAATCTTTCATTTCACGATCAGAAAGAATTCGATGCAATTCTTGTTTAGCTTCATCAATTCGATCACGATCTTGTGAATCTACCACAAATATAAGTCCTTGAGTTCCTGTATAATAATGACGCCATAATGGTCGAATCTTATCTTGACCACCTACATCCTATCATTATTTATATGTTGTAGATTAATTATGATTGTTATATATAAAAGAAATAAAGTTCTTTCTTTAAAATATCCTTCAATTAAATAACTTCTTGTCTAACATAAAATTAATCAATAAGAAACTAACCCAAACATTAAATTTAACATTTTTATATGTAACTGTTTCCACGTTAAAGCCAACAGTTGGAATAGTCGTCACTGATTGATTGAGTTTGAGCTTATATAAGATGGCTTAGTAAATTTTTGTAATAAAGTTAAGGATTATATGGATATAATTTATGAAATATCTAAATCAAATTCATGCAATTTGAAAATTTGAATATACATGCGCGCACATATGAAACTTATTTTGCTCTGAAAATAAAAAAAAGGATACTTGTTTTTCCTGCCGCATCTAGACCAAGCATTAAAATACGCATTTCTTTATTGCCAAAGATCTTGGCTAAAGTTTTTGATACAGACACACCCATTGCTGTTATTTAATATATTATAAACGACTATTTTTTTTTTTATATAATGAATGAATTTTTAAAAAAAGTAAAGGAAAGGATAATTCGCTTTTTTCGCAAAATAAAATAAGTTACTAGAAAAGATAGAATAACAGCTGGTAAAAATTTTATATAACGATTTATTCACGAAATAATAAAATTAAAATAAAGGTACAAGTAGTGGTAGTGATATGAGTGAGTGATGGATAGATGGCAGTAATAATATTAATAAAGTTGATGGAATTGTGGTTTTAATAAAAAAAATGTACCAAAGGTGTTTTTGATTTAGTGTGTTGGGTATGAGTTTGTTGTAGAATATTTTGTTATTATTTATTATATTATATATACTATTATCAACTTCTTTTTTAATTGAAAAAAAATAGGAATTAACTGCACAAAAAATAGTACAAATTTTAATTGGTAACAAATTTATTCTTTTGCAGTTTAAAATTTTTTTGCACGACATTTTGGGGTACAAAATTTTGGGTAAACAAAAAATTTAATAAAATTTAATTAATTCGCAATTCGCCAGAAACGGAAAGAAATTACATAATGCAGATCGGGGCAAAATTTCTCGATTTTATAATAAA